GGCTGCGCCCCCTCCCTGCCCTCCCGCTCCTCCCGGTGGTTGCCCCAGTTGTGGTATCCGTGCACGTGGCCACACTGGAGGTAAACCCACGGCTGCTTCTCGTCCGGCGTGTCCTTCCGCCGCATCGAGGGGAACGCCAATGTGTTGAAGCCCACGGGACACTGAGGGCGGGCAGCGTTGATCTCCTGGCGCAGCGCCTCCAAGTGTTTGAGGGTGGGAGTGCGTGACAGGCCTTCGGCGGTGCGCCACAGCAGCGTGGCTCCGCAGAGGTCGACGAGGGAACCGTCCACCAGCTCCTGACTCTCATTTTCCACCTGCAACACAGAAGAGGCAGACACCAGTAAATACTAACCCTACAGGCCACGGGTGGTACTGCATCAGATAGTACCTTCCTTAAAAAACCCTCTCTTTTACTACAAAACTGGGCTGAAATCAACCTGTAACTAATAAATCCAAAGGTCACATCAAAATGGAACATCGTTGATTTTCTCTGTTTGAAAATAATGTTTCAAATGTTTATAATGATATAAATTATGTTTCATTTCAGACTGTGATTTGTAGTAACACGTTTGTGAAAAAAAAAAGTCCGAAGCAGGAAAATAAAATTAAACTGTCTGACAGTAGGATCTACTGGCCACCAGGTGGCAGTATAACACCAGATGTTTTTATATGGACAGTGGGGGTAAATCAAGGAGGACTCCAGGGACGAACAGCTGGAGGCAGGATGACGTGAACAGATCGAATGAACCGGAAGTCGGTGTTTACTTTTTCACTTCTGTATTTCTCTATTTCACGTGTGTCCTGCAAAAACCAGACTCTTTTTCTGTCTGTGGCCAAACAGCTGCTGGACTGGACCAGCCGTGACTCCAGAGTGTTCATGGGAAACAGTTGCTGTTTTTCTTCCTTGCAGAAACAAAACAAAACAAAACAACCCCACTCAGCTGACTCCAAATCTGAAGCCTCAGACGCACATGCTGGTGCTGTGAAGTAACATTTTTAAAGAAATTATATTTCAATAAGAAAGTTCAAAGTAAGTACTGATAAAAATATTTCTAAATATATCAATAATATAACAATATGTAACATTATTTTGTCTGTTGTAAAATGAGCTCGTTGGCTCCACACAGTGGTCAACAGTGATACTGACGTCCAGTCAAAGCAGTGATCACTGACAGCTGTGATCCAATCAGAGTGATGCCACAGGTGGGTCTGAGACTCTGGTGTCAACTGGAGGATCCTCTGACCAGGTCCCGTTACACACGGTTTTGATCATCACACCTGTTGCTATGGAGACGGCATCCTGATAATCTGCCTGTGCTGTGAGTCCCCCTTTGCCCCCCCGCCGGCCTCTCCCACGGGGGAGTTAAGAGAGCCAAGCACTTTTTATTAAGAGGTCAATCTTAAAATAAACTCCACCAAAAATAACGTAATAATAAATAACAGGGATTTTTTTTTTCCACTTCTTGTTTTTTTCCTCACCATCTTCCCTCGCTGCTGCGCCGAGCGTGTTTCCCTCAGAGTGAAGACGTTGCCACAGACAGAGATCTCCCTCCAGACGCCCGGTTTGGAGTCCTGGCTGAATCCGTTCCGAGGATGCATGACCAGGACCCCGTTGGTGGTCAGTCCGTCCATCTGACCGTCACACGTCTTCCACTTCGCAGCTTTCTCCTGGAGATCACATTTGAAATGGTTCATTTAATATTCCTCCTTGTGGTGAGGGGTGGTAGTGCAGAACCGCAGTTGAAATTTTGAGGTCAAATTCTCCCATCATGCCACTCTTCTCCAACTAAAGCTCTGAACTAAAACAGACCAATTCTCATCTGTTCCAACTTCAACAGCGACCGTTGCAACCAAGTGGTTAAATGTGTGTACTGCACCCTTGTTTCATTGACACAAAAGTAATGCGTTTGACTGCGGTACATGGTGCAACAGTTGTACTTTTTCCCAAAGACAGTAAAGGCATCAGAGGCTCACAGTGCTGAGTCATCGGTGTCAGCCAATCAGATCCTGACGTAACTGTAACACTGTCTCCTGTTGTTTACCTCCACCCTGAATCATGACAGTGTTCGCTTGTTACCGGTACTTTTATTAAATGACTCACATCTGTACTGATTTATTTTGGTGGGAAACAATGCAAACTTCAACTGGTATTTCAGGAAAAGAAACCGTTTTCAATTTCCCAGACCTGGGAGACGAGAAGTTCTGTTCACAGATGAACATCTGTACTTTATTTCATGTAGTATTTTCATGGGCTACTGCAAAAGGCCTTTATTTACAATCTTGTACGAGGATGGAGAAGAGTTTGGGCCAAACATCCCGTTCTAACAGGCAACTTTAAACTGGAAGTTTAAACTGAGACCTTCAGAGAATCTTCACTTTTTTTTTTCATCTTTTTTTTTTTTTATTGGCCGAAATGTATCCGATGCCTGATTTAAAAAAAAGCACTCACCCCGAGGAAGATGTTCTTGGAGGAGTCGAACCCTGCGGCGTAGATGCGTGCAGTGTAAGGCGGCGTGCGCTGACAGATGATGCGACAGGCGAAGCGGGAGATGGTGCTCTGGACAGACTGGGTGTCTGCGTTACTCTGGCTGCCAGGAACCGTGTCTGTCACCACGAAGTCATTGGGACTTTCTGTGGATCGACCGATCTGGGATAGAAAAAAAACAAAAAAAAACAGGAGTTGAGCCAAGAAAAGATTATAGATATCATGAAATTAAATTATAAATGATCCAGAATAATTCAGCAAAAACACTCATCACATTTTACCAGTCATGGTTTAATTTCCGCGATGAGATGAGAAAAAATACAAAATGAAGCCACTAGAGGGCGCCACTTTAGAGCCTACTGAAGCCAAGTTATAATTTTTGCAAAAGAATGTTCCCCAAATGTGGACGACTTGGCAAAAAGGCAAAAAAATAAATAAATAAAATAAAATAAATAATAAAAAATATATTAAAAAATAAATTAAAAAACAGTTTTGATGGAGAAAATAATAAATAGTCAACATGTAGATATTAAAGGACGGTGTAGGAAAATTTTTTAAAAGGTTTTCGGAGGGGGGGGGAGTGTTGACCGAGACAACATTTCCATGGAAGTTGCTACGTTAGGGAGCGTTTTAGCTTTGGGCTACAATTACAGCCTACTTTTGTTACCATTTTGTTAAATTGGCACAAGGAAAAGTACACGGAATTACCTATTAGATCCTTTACAGCTGAGTGTGTGTGTGTGTGTGTGTGTGTGTGTTACCTGGAACATGTCGGTGTTGCTGTCGTGTGTGTACTCCACCACCACCGTCTGAGCTCGGGACAGAGTGTATGAGATGCTGTGCTGGTCTTTATTACTGATGGCCTGTGGAGACGGGAGACGGAGAAGAACAGGGACGTAAACGGTGAGACGGGAATGTCATGACCTTTGACCTGAAGGCTTTTTTAAAGGTTTTCACGGTTTTAATAATTTATATTTCCTGATAGTGATATTTGGAGATTTATGATCAGGTATCATAGAGATTAAATCAACATTTAATTAAGGAAATAAAAAATAAAAATATATACAGTACATTTAAAAATATTGTGGGCCATAAAAGCCTTTTCACGTGCCACGTCTGGTCCCTCGAGCCAGACTTTGAATCCATTAACTAACTAAGTAGCATGAACATGTGTGTGTGTGGTGACTCCTTCGTCCACAGACAAAACTTTTATTTATTTGCTACATACACCAGCCTGTTAGTACCTAATGGCGCCTCCTGTGGTAGCCTGTGTCAATTACAAGGACTCACACTGTATATTTCCCCTTTCGACACAGATAAATAAAAATCAAACAAATCTAACGCTCTTGTCATATTGCGCATGGTGTGTGTGTGTGTGTGTGTGTGTGTGTGTTGTACCTTGGCTGCCTGTGGAGAACAGGCCACGTGCACCGTGCTGGGGGTCACCCCATTGGCCTTGGGTCTCTTACAAAGTGCAAATCTGCTTTTACGTCGACCTCTGTCCCCGTTGGGCAGAGAGCCGTTGTACCTGCAACACACAAACACACACACACACACACAGAGAACACCAGGTCGTTACTGAATGAAACTCTGTTACAGTTCAGTTTGTTCCTGCAGCCTAAACAACAGATGAAACTTTTTCCTACACACGTCTGAACAAAAGTCTTTTTTTTTAACTAAACAACAGAGCTCTCCACACATGAGCCCAGATGGTCTGAGAAAATAAACAAACACACACACACACACACACACACACACACACACACACACTGGGACCCATTCAGCCTGAAGAAAAAACCCTCTGTGTTTCTGAGAGCAGGAATCAAACACACTGACCTCAGTCATCAGTCACGTCTATTTCAGAGCTTAGGGCAGTGGTTCTCAAACCAGGGCTCCGCGGCACCAAGGTGGTTTTGACTTTAAGCAGTTAAATTTTGATTGCATTACAGAAGATGAGCTGGACATGTTTTTCAGATTTTGCAAACGATAACTTCATAGCCAACACAGCCAACCCGTGACTCCCCCGCTACAGATTTTTCCAGGACAGATTCTGAAAAGGGTTTTTAATGACATTTCACCCCCACGCCGCCACTGATTCCTGCCCTCGCTGCGGACAAACTCAGCGCAGCTGAAACGTGTCTTTGTCCAATCAGAGCCCTGAATTAAACCCACCCGACGAACCGAGTCCCAGCCGCCGGCAAAATGTTTCTGTGAGTGAGCAGATCTGCTGGGACCAAACAACGCTGAGAGGGTTTATGGGTAACCATGGTGAGGGAACAGAACTACAGCAACGTTTTGGGACCAGTAACCATGGCAGGAGCGTAACCATGGTGAAGTTTAGCCCCGTTTCCAGAGGACAGGGGCAGGGTAGGCGGCTGGAAGTTCAGTCCCAGGGTTTCTGCGTGTACATGCATGTGTCCACTTCAAGTGTCCAAAACAAGTGTGTGTGTGTGTGAGACAGAGGGAGGAGGGGAGAAGGAAATGTTTTTTTTTGTACATAGGATGAAGTAGAAAAGATCACTGTTAGGAAAAAGTTACTCGCTCCTCGCAGTCACACAGTGTGTATTCTTCTTCAGTCGGTGTGTGTTTTCTCCAAACACGCGTAAACTCAGGCTTGCTGTGCAGCAACCACACTCACACGGCAACACTGTAAAAACATAAAGACCTGCTGTGGAGGTAATTACTACCCAAGGCCTGTGTGTCTGGAACGTAAACATTAAAACGTTAAATGAACGTCAGAATAAAGATTAAAATACTTTAGTCGGAAAACAGTTACAGGGAAAACACACACACACTGGTCCACGGTGCTGCACATTAGTAAGTAGTAGGTTGTCAGAAAATATTGATACACCAGAATATCACAATATTTCCTTTCCTGATCCCGTATCAATCTCCTCCTCCATAAGTTATTGATCTTTTTCTCACCAATTCCCAGTCCAATATTCCTGGTGTTGGTTCATTTTCTTTTTCTTTTCTTTCTTCTCTAGTGATTCCAAATGTAGATCCCTCTGTTCCAGTGTTAGGAACTGATGTTCAGATGGAACAGAGTCTGAGACTAGGATCACACTCTGACTACAGTTACACTTGCAAAAAAAATATATCAATATATCGTTGTGACTCTAGTATCGCAATGTATCGTATTGTTGCCTCTGCATCGCGATACGTATTGTAATACACACCGCTAATGTGGAGTACATATGTGAGGAACAAGAACTGGCCTGAGTGAGAGAGAAGGCTCTACGTACAATTAAATAAAAAAAAAAAACGTCAATTTATCGCGGTGCCTACAGTATCTCAATATATTGTATCGTAGCCCTGTATCGCGATATCATATCGTATCGCCAGATTCTTGCCAATACACAGCCCTAGTAAATAGTAAATAGAACGGCAAAAGTTCAAGTCACTTCTTGTGTAGTACATGAAAAAACCAGCCTTGTATTGGACATTACCCAGAATGCACGAGGGTGGAGGCATACACAGAGTCAGTGATGGTTTGTCGTCCACTGTTGTTACAGTTGCCCTTAAAGCCCCACAGATGAGCAGCGGGGCAGTAAACAGATAATCCTCCATGAAATTCTCCAGCGTTCTCCTGGATTAGTCCATTATCATAACACAGCGGTGACACTGTAAGGTCGGGACCCCGGTTCAGTGGAGGCCGCGGGGGTCGGACAGGACACGGAGTCGCACGTTTGGCTCTCGGCTCGTGTGCACGTGTGCAGTCTGTTCTGGGTCAAACAGGATGCAGTGTGAAAACAAAGCACTTGTTTTCCCCTCAGTGAAAGTTCCAGACGTGAGGAACTGTTTACTGGAGCGGAAGAAGTCGACACCAGTGTGGATTACGACATCCTGGACTGACTTGTTACGTTAATCATTTGTATGAATCATTAGCAGGGATTAGTCCGATATCCGATACGCCGATATTGTCCAAACACTTAATTTCCGATTCCGATATCCCCCGAAACTGCGTTAAACACCTCAGGACCCTACGTGTGATTCCAGCAAATTTGGCAAAACCTAGGTATTGTGTTATTGGATTTTAGATCCTGGACAATCGATCCATCCCTACCTAACACTCGTTTGGTCTCCCATCAGGCTGAATTCAGACTTCAGAGTCAAGTCCATCTTCACCTAATACAAGATCCAGTTCATGTTTATTCAATAAGACCCTGCTGACCCTGACTCATGTACCGACCGTAGACCCTGGCCCATCGAAACATTGGCGATATCAAAGTCAGAGAAAAAAGTGAGCGACTATAAATACGACTCTTCGTATCCTTCCTCCTGTCAGAGCAGCTGAATGATGGCTGTGAGAACATCCTTAGTTCTCCCATGACCTTTCACAGCTCTGTGAGCAGCAGAACTGTTTTTGTGTCAAAGTTATGGCTTCATCTCCTCAGGATTTCAGGTGTGTATTCACCTGTGTTCTCAAACGTAGTCACGGGGGGGAAAAAAAAAGCAGAGCACGTCGTAAGTTATGGCTTCATCTCCTCAGGATTTACACAGGTGTGTATTCACCTGCGTTCTCAAACGTAGTCACGGGGGAAAAAAAAAAAAAGCAGAGCACGTCGGAAAAGCACCTTCTCCCAGATTCACTTTTTTTTCCCCACCAGGACAAATTTCCACCGTCATCTCCCTGACATTTACACTCAGCCCTGAACAACAAACTGTGAGTCAGCTGTGAAACCATCTGTAGGCGAGTGTGTGTGTGTGAGATGTGAAGGTATATACAGTATTTGGTACGTGAAAAGTGTGTGTATGTGCGAGCGTAAGAAGTCTTTCCGACGTCTGCGTTCCTCCGTGGAGTGGGCTGGGCCACTGGGAAATGAAGAGCAGACAGAGAGATAAAGGAAGTCCTTCACAGGCGTCTGTTAGTGGAAATGTTGGTCTACAAGTGTGTGTCACGGAGTCACGGGGTCTTCCTCCAGCTGACCATGTGGGAAACACCGAGGTGTTGGAGACGAGTGTCCAGGACAGATCTCATATGTATGGACTGTATATACGAGACATGATGTAACAGCCTCATGTCAATATACGCACAAATACTCCACTCTGGAAAACTCTGACTGTCTGAACTCACCCCCCACGACCGCCAGAGGAATGGGACCAAAAATATCTGGGTCGTTTATGTTTCCTTCTTGAGAAGAACTTCCGCTCCATCACTTTCAGAGACGTGGTTCTGTAGAGTTCTCCATGTCCACTCCTGTAGTGGACTAGTTTATCTGACCCATAGCCAGAAAAGTCTGGTTATCAGGACACAATTTGAACCCCGCCCCACCCTCTAATAAAAAAGTATTTCACGCCACGAAAACACCACAAGCCACCGTTGAAGCAAAGAAGAAGATTAGTGAGATATGCTATGGCACACATGTCAAACTCAAGGCCCGCAGGCCAAATTCGGCCACCTCACATCATTTTATGTGGCCCACCAAGACTAAGCTCAGAACAAGGGTGTCAAACATACTGCCCGCAGGCCAAAACTGGCCCGCTTGGGGTTTAAATCCGGCCCGCTTCATGAATTTTGTTCAGGATTTATTAATGTTATTATTTTGAATTTGATACTTTACTTTATTGAGGTAAAAGTCGTCAGTTCAAATTCAATATTTCTGGATTTTAGCATAATCAGAACTGGACTGTTCAATGAATATTAATCCTGTTTGGACCCAAACTTTTGTGTTTTAAATTTCGGCCCCTTGAATGATCGAAGTTAGACACCACTGTACCAGAAGGTAAAAACCCAAATGTGTGTTTAAAGACTCCAGACTGGTGACTGGTGTATTATGTATTGAGTTTGAGTTAAAAATACTCACATTAACTACTTTGGAACCAGAACTATAAAAGCAGAGTCAATGGACTCTAACGAAACCCCAGCCCTGTATTTTGAATCAGTATGAATCATCATCATCTTCACCTCACGGTCTGGTACAAACCAGCAGCAGAAACCAACAATGAACCACAAATAATAACACTGTTCATCCAACAGCATTGATGTCAAACCAGGAACCGGTGGCTGCACTGGTTGGTTGGTTCTTACCCCAGCACAATGAGCTCTCCATACTTCACTGGCACTTTGGTGGAGGTGGTGGTGGAGATGTTTTCCTGCTCCGGGGAGTACATTGGGCGGATGGACGAGGTTCAGACGAGGAGCATAGGAAAGATGAGTACGATCCAGCAGGGAGGAGGAAGACGGGAGGGTGGAAAAGAGAGGGGTGAGGTATCGATCCAGAGGAGAGGAGGAGGAGGAGGAGGAGAAGGAGGAAGGGCAAGGGTCAGCTGAGCTTCAGCTCCACCCTCTCATGTTTCATGTGTCCGTCGGTGCCGAGTCGTTAGCGCCCTGCAGAGAAAAGGAAACAGGATCAACAGAAAGATCGGTACTGGTCAAAGAGTGAAGAGACGTTATTTTTGTTTTCACTTTTTTAGTATTGTTTATGAACGAATTATATAAACAGTACATATATATATTTATATAAATACATACATATGTATATATATACATATATACAGTTTATACTTTTTATATATTTATATATGGACATTTGTATTTATATATTTATAAAAATATATGTACATTTGTATTTATATATTTATAAAAATATATGTACATTTGTATTTATATATTTATAAAAATATATGTACATTTGTATTTATATATTTATAAAAATATATGTACATTTGTATTTATATATTTATAAAAATATATGTACATTTGTATTTATATATTTATAAAAATATATGTACATTTGTATTTATATATTTATAAAAATATATACTGTATATGTACATTAAATATATATAATTCTACAGTGTGTGTGTGTGTAGTAGTGACCATGGTGTCAGAGCTACGTGCACACACCAAAGGATTGCGAAATTCACATTTCCTTTCCTGTCAGGTTCCAGGTGGCTTTAACGACATTTAACGATATTCGGAGCAAGTTTAAAGAACTGAAACGACATAGATTGATACACACGGAAAACACACCTCACCCACACACACACACACACATCAAAAAGACTGAAGGAGTTTGCCCAAACAAACAGTCATAACCAGAGCCTGTAGGTCACGACCGAGT